TAGGGAGTCTACGAGCCTCCACGTGAGTTCCTTTCTCAGTACCATGACCTGGGAACTCTCCAGGCAGTAAGTTCAGGAAACCATGGGATCACTTCATTTGTTTCCTGTCTGTTAGGGAACAACTTTCTTCCTTGCCTGATGTTCAATGTCTTAAGCTCTTGTTTTATTTATATATAAGTAAAAAATACACACACACACACACACACACCCCTACAGGCACCAGACCATATATATATATGTATTCAGTTTTTGAATTGAGTTGGTTCAGTAGGGAAGGTAAGTCTGGTCCCTGGTACTTCATCTTGGCTGAAAATGTAAGCCTATTAGTCTTGATCATTACTTTCTTAGAAATTCTTATGGAGCCTTAATTGTTTGATTCATTTTAGGCATCCAAAGAGGAATTATATTTTTCAAAATATTTTTAAATAAATTATACAAAGTGAAGCTAAGTCTTGATGGTACGTATTCTGGATTGGTTGGATTCTTTTGATACTTTGTCCTAAAACTAATCTTAATTTTTGAACAAATCACTAGCTTTTCTCCCACTTATATGTTGAGTGAAGTTTCAACCAGTTGAGAATTTCAGGTGTCTCCCAAGCCTTTCAGAAGCAAGACATCAAAAATAAGTAGGCTAAATTAAACTTTGGCTTTAAACTAAGAGGGCCCACATTTAACTTGCAAACCATTATAGTGGAATTGGCCTTTCCAATTTATCCATTGTTTATGGTTACAAATTCTTTGTCTTTAGAAATGTATATTCTTTTATAGCAGTAAGTGCATTAAGTGATAGTTTGCCTTGATCTTTTTTTGTGTGTGTGAGGAGATCAGCCCTGTGCTAACATCTGCCAATCTTCCTCTTTTTTTTTTTTTCGCTGAGGAAGACAGGCCCTGGGCTAACATCCATGCCCATCTTCCTCTACTTTATATGGGACGCCACCACAGCATGGCTTGCCAAGCAGTGTGTCGGTGCGTGCCTGGGATCCGAACCAGCGAACCCTGGGCCGCTGCAGCAGAGCATGCGCACTTAACCACTTGCGCCACTGGGCTGCCCCCGTCCTCTTTTTGCTGAGGAAGACCGGCCCTAAGCTAACATCTGTTGCCAATCCTCTTCCTTTTTTTCCCTTTTTCTCCCCAAAGCCCCAGTAGATAGTTGTGTGTCATAGTTGCACATCCTTCTAGTTACTATATGTGGGATGCCGTCTCAGCATGGCTGGGTAAGCGGTTTGTCAGTGCGCGCTTGGGATCTGAACCCCACCTGCCAGTAGCGGAACCGCTAAGCCACGGGGCTGGCCCCACCCTTATCTTTTGATTGAATTATCTTCTGATTTCATTTATACTAACTTTAGTTATGTGTATTTATGATTTACATTTTTTGGTGTAGTAGGTACTATAAAACATAACAAGAGAGACTCATAAGCATATGAAAGCATAAATTTATTCTCTTTTCTAGTGGCCTGAGAAGCTGATTCTTTGTCCATCTTTCTCACCTCAGATTACACCCAATATGTATTTTGTTTACTTCTTGTTTGGGAAAAGAGCCTGTACGGAAGGGCATATTATAGACAGTAGTTTATTAATAGTAGAAGAAGAAACTTTTTACAGAATTTTGAACCTTAAAAAGACCTACTGGAACATGAATTTTATAATATATTTACAGGAACTTTTGTTTGACCTTATGTAGAACCTGGGTTTTGTGGCTTCTAGGGTCGATTGTTTGGTTTTGTGTGTGTGTTTGGAAATTCCTTATAATATGTGGGAAACTTTTTGTTTTTGTTTTGCTTTTAAAAGTAGGAAAATTAAGGTTCATTTTATGATTCTTTCCAAGCTCTAATGTTTTGTGATGGCTAGAGTTGAATTAGATATTCTGTCACCCTGTGGTTAAATTGTGTAATGTTACATTGTTTTCCTTGTGTAAGCATATGGACAAGCTGAACTGCCTATCTTGTTATTTTAATTTTTGTTTACTTATGAAATTGAACTTTTTAATACATTTGCTTACTGGTATTTGTCTAGGGAATTGTCTGTTCATAGCATCAATTTTTGGGTTTCTTCAAGTTTTTTTCTTCATTTTGTTGAGTTCTTATATAACATTCACATTTTGTCACATGTTCAGATATTTTCTCTGTTGATTCTCAACTTAGTATTTATTTATTTTTTTATTTATTTATTTTGTGAGGAAGATCAGCTCTGAGCTAACATCCATGCCAATCCTCCTCCTTTTGCTGAGGAAGACCGGCTCTGAGCTAACATCTATTGCCAATCCTCCTCCTTTTGCTGAGGAAGACTGGCCCTGGACCAACATCTGTGCCTGTCTTCCTCCACTTGATATGGGATGTTGCCACAGCATGGCCTGACAAGCGGTGCCTCGGTGCGCGCCCGGGATCCGAACCCCGGGCCGCCAGCAGCAGAGCGTGCGCACTTAACTACTACGCCACGGGGCCGGCCCTGTCAACTTAGTATTTTTTGAGTGCCATTTTCTTATGCTGTGCACAATATTTGTTAAGCTTGTTTCTGAAACCCTTAATATGAAATAGATGCCTGTGTTCCAAGTGAAGATGAAACTTTATTCAAAATAAAGAAGAAATGTAAATAGGCAGTGGGATATATTCTTCAGGAAAACAGAGTTCTAGGCTGGAGATGTAGATTTGGGATGATCAGTTGGTAGTTAAAACCCTAAGAGTGGCTGAAATTCCCTACAGAGAAGAATTTAGAATGAGAAAGGAAGTGAGGACAGGATGGGTAGCACAGGAGAAAGGCTTGGCCTTAGATGGAATGGGAGGAAAGACACATTCCCTTTATTGTGGTGATTCTGAAAACTGTTTGCATATTAGAATCACCTGAGAAGCTTTTTTTTTTTTTTTTTTTTTCAAAATAAGGATTGATGCCCAGGCCCTACCCCAACCCCCCAGACACTGGTGTATTTTAAATCCTCAGGTGATTTTAATATGCAGCAAGGATTAAGAACCACTGCTCTAAACTTTTGTATGTCTCAGAATCACCTGGAGGACTTGCTAAAACACAGAGTGCTAGGCCCCATCCTCAGTTTGATTTAGTAAGTCTGGGTTGGGGCCTGAGAATTGGCATTTTTAACAAGTTTCTAGATGGTGCTGAGAACCACTGTAACAATAGGTGGAGGAAGGGAAACCCTTGGGGCAGATGAATGTAGATGCAGGTGTGCTTGTAAGTTTGTCCCTGGGAATTTTCAGGAGTTTCTTAAGATGTTGCTTTCTCTATGATGTAGGCATGTGAGCAGTGTTGCATGAGTAGTTGTGGTGTTGAGAGGTTTGAGGATTCTTAGGTGTTCAGTTGCCATCCAATGAGGGTGAAAGAACAAGTCGATTGTTTTTCTTGATACATCAGTTACTTTTTTTCACCTGAAGAAAGATCTCCTTGAATCTTAATATTGTCATCTAGTGAATATGCACTGTCCTCTTTTGTCACTGTAGATGAATGTTCTTCCTATATCTTTGTTCATGTTATTGGTGAAAATATGTCAACAGGATAGATTCTGGGAGTACAGCTCTCTTTACACTGTCATCATTATTAGCACCCTTGGGGTAAATTTAATTAAATACGTTCTTCCACATATGATAGCAAGCTGTCTGTATATTAGTGTAGATCTTTTGGTTGCAGGTGAATTCATTTCCCAGTTTATCTCAAGGAAAAATGGTTTATTGTAAATGTATACTCGGAGAGCTAAGTGGTTATCTGCAGTTACATAGGGAGAAGGCAGCATGGTGTAATGGACTGACTATGGATATACTAACTATATCATAAGGTTATTAGGCTGAAATGAGATAGTAAATGTGAAAATTCTTGATAAATTTTATGAAACTACATAAATATTGAATGTAGCAGTTGATATGCCTGTAAAACCACATCTCTGCATGTGATGCTGATTCTGCAATTTACAAATGTAAAACCAGTAGATAAAATGACTTTTATAATGATAGGGTCTACACAGGCATTCCTTGACTTTGAATGCTTTTTGTATGATATACCTACCTATTCTATACTGTCTTTAGCTCTCTTACTTCAGTTCTCAATGCTTTTAGCTAGTAATAGTTCTTGGTAGAATTTGCCACCTTCTGCTGTACATGCAGCCACGCTAACCGTGCAAAGAAAAAAAGCCCTAAGGTTGATATGGGTGTACACCTCATTAAATTGAAGGGAAATAGTGTGAGAGCTAATTTGTGTCTTTTTCTCTGTTTATTAATAGACTAGTTTTTAGTTAGGTTGTACCTCCAAGATTACAGTACATTAGCTCCAAAGATGAAAATTCTCTTTGTGAATGTTCATTAAAATGCTATTTACTTCTAACTTCTCATATATACAGAGACTTGTTTTCACAAGTGCACACCATTTTTTGAACACTTAATCCATAACCGTGAAATAGAATATTGTTTTTATGTACCTTGGGTTTATCAGAAAATGTTTTACCATTTGCAGATTGTAGAGAAAATAGAATGTTCTGTTCTAAATTGTGAAATTAATAGAGCTTTGTTAGACACATACTGCCTAAAGACACAGGCATGAAATTTATAGGGGAATGGTGTTATCCTCCTATCATATTTGGATTCTAAGTGTGTAAGCTGATGATGCCAGTCATTTCAAGCCTATTAAATTGAATAGTATTTGTTTATTAAATAGAAAGACAGGCTCCATAGATTGACTATATTTCTATTCATCTATTCAGAACTGTTCATCTCAGTGTGGATTAAAACCCTTATTCTTAAGTGATTACAAGCTGTAAATAACTAATACATTCACCGAGTGCATGGCGGTTTATTTTGATTAATTTTGTGCGTGTTAGTTGGAATTTGACAGTATTAAATGGGTCTATGAAATTACTGATATGAGTTTTTGAAGATTGATTTTATTTCTCAACGTTTTTATTTTTCAAAATTTCTGTGAACATTTGAATTTACTAAGAGTTTTTAGCAAGCTAATAAATTCTAAAATTTTCCTTCTTAATTTTCTTTCTTATGTGCATTTTAAAGACTGGTTTTAAGGGGTGTGGCAGGAGGTTTTGGACTCGATGAGTTTCCACCGAAATGTCGGAGAAGTCAGGCCAGAGCACAAAAGCAAAGGATGGGAAAAAGTATGCAACACTCAGTTTATTTAATACTTACAAGGGTAAATCATTAGAAACTCAAAAAACTACAGGTGAGTAAAAGCAAGTGGTATTTATATTTTTTATGGTTTTGTTTTGTTTTGTTTTACTGTAAGTGGTATACTGGAGCTGTTGCTGTTAGGAGCTGGAACAAACCCATGTTAATGCAGCTCTGTTTACACTGGGCTTTTTATATATGCATATTTTTCAGGGGATATAGATTAAATATCTTATGATTGCAAGTTAATAAATATGTTTTAAAATATGTTTATTCTTTCCTTTGTCAACAGAAAATAAGTAGAATTGTGTGGTTCCAAAGGGGAAACTTGGTCAATGAGATAGATAGGCATAGAGCTATATATTAGTGGGTATTGACTACCACTTTTAGTTACGGCATAGAGTCCTGTGGTGATTTGTTTTGTTTTGTTTTTTGATGCCTTGAACCCAGTGTTTATAGTGAAAAGTGAAAACTAGACAATGTATGATACATTAGCACTGTTCATTATGAACATAAAGTCAGCATATTTACTCTCTAACATACTAAGTTTTGAATTTTAAATAGATTCCCTGAAAAAATTACAAAACCAGCATTGTTATTGTTTTCATTGTGTATAGGATTGCATTGTTAGAATTTTCAAAGCACCTATTTAGTGTCTTGATAGCTTGTTTTAATATTTTTACAATGGGTTATGTTGCAGATGTGTGGCTTAGTTTAAAAATTCTTAAAATATTAAGATATAATAGTTCAAGATTCCATTAATTTCTGTTGTCTTTCTATATTATTTTAAGAATAAAATAGATGTTCTAAGAAAATTGATGTTATTGATCTTTAGTTGCAGCTCGACATGGATTACAGAGTCTTGGAAAAGTTGGTATTTCACGGCGTATGCCTCCACCTGCTAACCTCCCAAGTCTCAAAGCGGAAAACAAAGGCAATGATCCTAATGTGAACATTGTACCTAAAGATGGCACAGGATGGGCATCAAAACAAGAGCAGCATGAAGAAGAAAAGTGAGTCAAAGTCTACCAAAGAATGAAACCATTCCCCTTTCTTTCTAGGGAACATATGTTGGAGTTCCTTCTATGTGCTAGATGTTGTGCTGCATGTATTACATATCTCATGCCTTTAAAGTCTTATGCCTTTAAAGTCTTATACAGTCAATTTTTGATTAATTTTCCCTATGAATGGGTTTAGTGGCAGTATTTCTGTATGTCAAGGTAGAACAGATGACAGAATTGCTAATGACAACTTTTCTTATATATTGTGTCAGGCTCCCTCCTCTCCCACCCCCACCAAATCAGGCATTCTCTTTCTAATATGATTAAGAGTTGATTCCGTTAAATAATTTGCATGATGCTAAGAATTTCTATCTGCCTGGTTCACTGAAACTATGCCTAATGCACATCATAGGTGTTCAAGAATGAATAAAGAATTAGCAAGAAAGCTGAGATAGAATTGATTAATCATCATTAATCAATTATTCATTATAATTGATTATTAATCATCATTCATTCAAGAAATATTTAGTACTCTGTGTGTCAAGGATTATGCAGGGCTCATTGAATGACCAAATTAAGTAATGATAATTTTTAAAAATAAGACGAGCACTTGGATACTTGATGCTTTTTGCCTATATCTATCATCAAATTTTTATACTCCTCTTTGGGGAGCTTTATATAGTAAATTTCACTACTTGAGTAAAGCTTGTCGAAGACTTATTGTTCACTGCTTCTTAGTTGTAGAATTGTTTTGTAGTAGCAAACCAGTTACCTGTCTGAGTGTACCAGAAATATATTGCATTTCTTGAGTCTCTTAACTGCCTTTTTCATTTTTAAGTATTATCTCCTTGCAAGGATTGAATAAAACTGTAGACCCTTTTAAAACAGCTTTAACTCATGGGGATGCATCAGGCAGGTTGCTGTTACCTCTTTGAATAATAGTAATAAGTACAATGGTGAACCTGTTGACTGCCAAATGGAGAGTTTGCTTAGCCTTAGCCTCCGGCTAATTCCACCCGTCCAGACTGTATATATGCCTATAATGTTATTTCTAATTATAAATGTTCACTTCCTCAAAACAGATTTTTGGTAGCTATGTTCAATAATGAGTGTTTCTTTTTTTTACAAAGTGAAAAACAAGCAAAGCTGTCTTCTCCTTGGGTTATTTGAAGGTAGAAATGAAAGGGGGTGAAAACAGCTGTACTTCATTCAAAGAAATGTTACAGAGGGAAAATATTTGTGGGGAGTGCATCTGTGAGTAAATGTGTCACCAAAATAATTTGTATACAAACTTATGTTAAATACAATATTTATTTTATTTTATTTAAACATATAATATCTGAAATAATGGATTCGTATTTTTTTTAAGAATACCAGAAGTTCCACCAGCACAGCCAAAACCTGGGGTTGCAGCTCCCCCAGAAGTGGCACCTGCTCCCAAATCATGGGCCAGTAACAAGCAAGGTGGGCAAGGAGATGGTAAGTGGACATCAGCTGGGGTAACTGGTTAGGCTTGATAGTTACTGAACAGCCACGTAGGAGATAAGGAGTAGATTATTGTGGTTTGGCAGGGGCAGAGAACATTGTCAAAGGACATACAGTCATACATTGCTTAACAACTGGGATATGTTCTGAGAAATGTGCTATTAGGTAATTTCATCCTCGTGTGAACATCACAGAGTGTACTTTGACAAACCTAGATGGTATAGCCTACTACACACTTAGGCTGTATGGTACTAATCTTATGGGAGCACTGTGGTATATGTGGTCTGTTGTTGACCGAGACGTTGTTATGTAGAATATGACTGTACTCAGGCACTAAAAATGGGTCTTTTTTTCAATCTCTTGGGCTGGTTAAGTTTCAGTGTCAAGAGCCATGTATGAGCCAATGATAGGGATTAAAGAAGGAGTCTTTAAGATACCCTCTGCCCCACATTATTTTATCTTTTACCCTACATGACCAGACGAAACCTTATACTTTCAGCTCTTTGAGACATAAAAATACGCTTTTACCCATGGGGATGCATCAGGCAGGTTGATTGCTAGAAACCATATTCATCTCCATCTTTGCCCCTCAGCCTCCTCTGTTTCAAACATGCTGCCCACAATTTCCATGTGGAGAAGAGTGACAGAGTAGCCATAAAGCACAGAAGCTGTAATATTTCCCTTCCCCCAAGGAATGATGGATTCCCCAGCGAAATTTGATTTTTCCACTTGCAAGACAGGAAATGTCTATAAAACATGGTATGGAAAAACCCATCTAGGCCCTCAAGCTAATAAAATCGGCTCTTTTAATTTATAGAAGTATAAAAATAAATAGGCAGGCAGGTAGGTCGGTAGATGGGTGCATGGGTGAATAGTGAAGTGCAGTCAGTGTTTCAGCAGTAAATTAAATGAAGGCATTTTAACCTCACAGTGATACTTGCAGTGTTTATTCATAAATTCTATTTCAGCAATACCGTTCAAACTGGTCCTTAGAGTTATTAGCAGAGGAATTTCACTTGTATTGAAAATATAGGGAGTCATAATAAAAGAGAAACTGAAGTGAAACTCTCCTCACTTGCCTCATCATCTTTAATGAATCCTCTGGAACAGTGTCTGGCAGATTCCTTTCTTAGGATTTTATCTCCTCGTGGCTGTTCATTAACTTTCCAAGGGATTCTAATTCTAGATAAATTTAAAATTTTATGGATATGAATAGTCATCATTGAAATGTGGAATAATTTAACAGAAGAAGGCAGAGAGCTCTATCCTGGGAGGGTTTTTGAATTATCTTCAGTATAAAAGTTACATTTAATGTTTTTTTTAAAAAATCTATAGGGATCCAGGTGAATAGTCATTTTCAGCAAGAATTTCCCAGCCTGCAGGCAGCTGGGGATCAGGAGAAAAAAGAAAAAGAAGCAACTGATGACAGCTATGGACCTGGGCCCAGTTTACGTCCACCAAGTAAGAGTACTTTGTATTTAATAAAACTACAGAATGAGATTATGTTTGTGTTTTATCCTGTGATATAACCGCCTACCTGCTGCTGTTGTATGTACGACTTGCCTAGTTTGAAAAGGCAGACAGCAACTATAGTTGCTTGCCACTCAGGTGTGGTTTTTCTATGAACGCATCAGTATAACTTGAGAACTCATTGAAAGTATATGTCTTGGGCCTTACTCCCAACCTACTAAATAAAAAATCTGCATTTTAACAAGATGCCTAGGTGACTTATTTGCACATTAATATATGGTCATTTTTACAAGAGTAAAATTTTTTGAGCAAACGTCTCCAATATGCAAATATTTGTTTATAAATTACATCCAGGGCCGGCCCTGTGGCTTAGTGGTTGGGTGCGCGCACCGGCTTCTCCGGCCATGCTGAGGCCGCGACCCGCGTACGGCAGCTAGAAGCATGTGCAGCTATGACATACAACTATCTACTGGGGCTTTGGGGGAAAAAATAAATAAATAAAAATTAAAAAAATAATAATAATACAAAAAAAAAACAATTATAAATTACATCCATTTATTTGCTACTCTGTTAATATCAGGGATCTCTTGCTTTCTGAACTTAAACTGAGGAACCAAATCAATTTGGATAGTGAGAGATACTTGTATTATGTACATTATAAAGCAAAAACTAAAAATAGAAATATAAAATCTTTGAAAAGTTTTTAAATGTCTTAGTAATTGTATTAGCTTCATATTGTTATTACCAAATACCTCAAAGGACCCTGTATACACGGGGAGGTTCCTCTTTATAGTAATGGTTACAAATCCATGTTTCTGATAACCTAAGACATTTCATATATCCTTTGGCTCATTTCTTGTCAAGTCTGGGTAAATCATCTGTTTTTATTCTTATTTTTTAATTGCCATAATGTGGTTGATGAGTTTGTATTAGGAATAAATGTGTCAGCTCTGTTTTCTTGTTCATTTGATTTTAACCAGTTATCGCTGCATAACAAATTTGGCAACTTAAAACGACAAACTGAACTTGACTTAGGATTTCACACAGTATCTGAGGGTCAAGAATCTGGGAGCCACTTAGCTGGGGGTTCTGGCTCAGAAACTCAAAATGAAGTTGCAGTGAAGTTGTCATTTGATGCTGACGTGACTGGGGCTACTGTTCCAAGCTCACTCATGGTGGCTCTTTCGTATGTGGGCTGCTCACAACATGGCTTCCCCAAAAAAGTAAGGAGAGACAGACAGATATCTCCCACTAAACGTGGAAGCCCACAGTTCTTTATAACCTAGTCTCAGAAGAGACATGCCATCCCTTCTGCCTTATTCTGCAGGTTACACAGACCAATCCTCGTACACTGTGAGAGGGGACTACACAGGGTGTGAATACCAGGAGATAGAGACCATTTGGGCCATCCTGGAGGCCACCTTCCAAACAAGGTTTCCTTGTTAAGACCATTTGCCTGTTTTATTTGGTTAAGTGTAGTTGATCCAGATAGTATATTCACTAAATCTGCTCACTTGGGCACATGTAACTAGCAATAGTAGACTGAGAACAAGTGAATCAGAGCATCACTGTCAACCCCTCTGGGTTGTAGAACTCCCCCCACCGCCACCTTCCCTCACGACACCTCAGGTATAACAGTGATTTTAATCTCTATACCTAATATTGGTAAAGCTTAATAGAGAAGTTCTAATACTTTCTTCCCCAACCCCAGTATTTGCTTTTGGTGGCACCCTCTGAGGTACATCCTCTCTGGTTTAGAAGCCACTAATCCTGACTACCTAAACATGTTGGAAGCATTAGTAGGGCCTACCTGTTAGACTTTCACTGCTCCTTCGCTGTGCTTACTTGTTGCTTAAATTTTCTTGAAATGTGCTTTGGTTTCATTGTGTCCCATTTTCAGGTTTTTTTCTTAATCCTTTCTTCTCGCCCCACACTAGATGTTGCTTGCTGGAGAGATGGTGGTAAGTCTGCTGGCTCACCTTTAACATCTGACCAAGATGAAAAACACCCTGGCCAGGATGAAAGCACTGCTGGAACATCAGAGCAAAACGATATCCTCAAAGTGGTGGAAAAGAGGATAGCTTGTGGCCCTCCACAAGCTAAGCTGAATGGACAGCAGCCTGCCCTTGCTTCACAATACAGAGCTATGATGCCTCCTTATGTGAGTTTTGTTAAATAAGCAAGTAAATAAGAGGTTTTTGATCTGGGTTCCAAGGAGAGAATTAGAATGGGAAGAAGTTTAGGTCTTTATTTTCGTTAACTGGGAATTGCATTTTTTTTGATAATGAACAAATCAGCAGTACCTGTGTTTTTATCATTAGTAGGGATCATAGGTATTTTCATATTATATTGCATTGTTTTAGATACTGCAAAATATTGTTTATACTCAGCATACCTCAAAATAGTTATTAGACCCATGGGTAGACCCACTTGTTATTTAATGACCTAATAAAGAAGCACATACATTACCATATCACAAATTTGCTTTTTTAATATTGTGGTAACAATTTCAGTATAATTGTTTTCCTTTGTAATACCTCTATATTTTAGATTATGCATTTAAAAACATTTCTATGAAAAGAGGTCCATAGGATTTACTAGACTGCCAAAGGGGTTTGTTCATGGCACAGAAAAGGTCACTCCCTGCATGTGTGTGTGTGTGTAAGATCAGCCCTGTGCTAACATCTGCCAATCCTCCTCTTTTTTTGCTGAGGAAGACTGGCCCTGGGCTAACATCCATGCCCATCTTCCTCCACTTTATATGGGAGGCTCCCACAGCATGGCTTGCCAAGTGGTGCGTCGGTGCGCACCTGGAATCCAAACCGGCGAACCCCGGGCCGCCGCAGCGGAGCGTGCGCACTTAACCACTTGCGCCACCGGGCCAGCCCCTGCTACCTGCTTTTAATTCTAAAGTTTTTATTAGTATACTTCTAATTTTTTTTTAACTTTGCATTATGGAATATATTAAACATATGCAAAAATAAAAATAATAGTATAATGAACCTCCCTCCTCCCATATCTGCCATCCATCTTCAACAGTTGTTAATTTGTGTTCAATCTTGTTTCACCTATTTCCTACCACATTGGATTACTAAAGCAAATCCTAGGTAAATCATTTCATCCATATTTATTTTAGGTTGTATTTTAAAAGACAAAGACGAGGGGAAAAATCCACAATGCCATTATCACACCTAAAAAGACAATTCTTTTTAAAATATCGTCAGTATTCTAGTTTCCCTGATTAGCTCATAATTAGGATCCAGATAATGTCTATTCCTTGAGATTGGTTGATATTTCTCTTAGGAATCTTCTTTTCCACTTGGGACCTCTTTCCTTCTACTTTATTTTCTTTGGAGTTTATCTGTTAAAATTTGTTTGTCATCCTGTAGAGTTTCTCATAGTCTGGATTTTGCCGATTCCATCTTTGTAGTTTCATTGAGTATATACTTCTGACCCCTGTATTTCCTATAAGTTAGTAGTTAGATTTGGGGCCCTTATTCATTTGTTTGCTGTCAGCCTACTTTGAAATTATATGGCAAGTTACATGTGCCTAAGTAAATAAATTTACATTTTTCAAGATATCATTAACCTCAAAGGGAAGAAGAATCTAGTTCTTATATTCATTTTTCTTATGATTTATCTCCTAAGTATTCAAAGTGTAAATTTTCTTTTTTTCCATATTTTCTATTTTTTCTTTATTGTTATTTAACTGTTCTAGGGTAAAGAAGGAAAATAAATGATTAAATATAATTACTTGTTAAATATTTTCCAAAAAAATTGAGGAATATGATAAAAACCAGTCTTATTTGCTAACCTGGCCTCAATAAATGACTTATACCTGACTACTTGTCTCCTAATAATTTTCAAGTTGTGCTTTCAAAGATCTCTGAAATTCCACGTGTAGAGGTGGGCCAGGCTAAGGGAAGGTAAGAGGGGAGACCAAGTGGGCTTTGTTCACAGTTGCATCAATGATTTTATTTGAATAAAGTGTTACACTGATCAACAAAAACAAATGTTTTAAAAACCTCTACTGTATATTGAGAATTTAAAGATTGTAGAAATTTAAAGATTGTTTCTACAATTAATTTTGTGACAAATTCCTAAATTTTAAACATCTGATGCCACACATAGTTAATCTCTATACCTGAATAATCAGAAGGATCTAATGCAACTTCACCTATGAACATTTGCTTCCAATAGTGTATTTGCTAGCTTCAGTATAGAAGTGTGATGCAACCGAAAATTCTCTAGAGAATTCCCCAAACAAAAAGCTTCCCCAGTTGAGTTTCAGCTACTGCTTAACTGAATTAACTTTGCTCTGATCCTACTTAGAAATTTCTTTAGATCACATGATCGTATAAACATAGCCTTTCTTTAAGTATAAAATGATTTCTTCATCTAACAGTTATTTTTTTATAGAAAAACTGATCTATTTCAGGATATAAATTATATATTTAAGCTAATATAATTTCTTTCTTTCTGTTTTTTAACATAATTTCACCTGGGTATAAGCAAGTAGTAAATAACCAAGTGCTCCTTGGTATTTCTTCCCTCCCAAGTCATAGGATGATCCCTTGGTGTTATTATTTGTCCTCATAATCTATCTTATAATTTCTCCTGAACTTAGCTTCTCAAAGCCAAGTTCCCATAGAAAGCATCATCTTTGGGCCTCAGTTTATAATTACTATCTGTGTAGTAACTTGACTCAGAATCCACCTATGCCCTACCCATAGAAAATCTCCAAGTAGCTCTAACCTCCTCCCTGACTCCCTTGGGTTATGGACTATCTTTTGCGTTATCTGAACTGAGTTCCTCTTGACCAACAAATCTGCCTTCAGTTAACCTATCCCTGTGTTAGGATGAGGTCTCACATTATTTCCTTTCAAGTATTCAAACTTGGTTAAGGCTTTGCAGTTTTCTGGGGTGCATGCATGTGGTCTTTTTTGGTTTTTCATGTCAATACACAATCATTTTTATGTGATTTTGTTAATGGGATAACAGAAGTTCTTTATATGATGTGCCCTAGTATTACCTCTATTTGTAAAGACTTGGTGGAAGCAGTAGTCTTGCAAAAGGCTTATTATTGAGGATGAATGATGATCTATACCAGTGGATAAAATTAATTATTCATAGTAATGTTTATTTTAATCATTTTTTTTTTAATTTTATTTATTTATTTTTTCCCCCCAAACCCCAGTAGATAGTTGTATGTCATAGTTGCACATCTTTCTAGTTGCTGTGTGTGGGACTCGGCCTCAGCATGGCTGGAGAAGCAGTGCGTTGGTGTGCGCCTGGGATCCAAACCCGGGCCGCCAGCCGCGGAGCACAAGCACTTAACCGCTAAGCCACGGGGCCGGCCCTAATCATTCTTTCTATAAACTATAATTTCAGGCTTAGTCAGGATGATCTTTTTTTTTTTTTTTTAAATAACTGGGTTGCTAAATTTATCAATCTTTGTTTCCTTCATTCAGATGTTTCAGCAGTATCCAAGGATGGCATATCCTCCTCTGCATGGTCCCATGAGATTTCCACCTTCTTTATCTGAAACAAACAAGTAAGACTATTAAATGATTAAAGTCTACAAGGCATATATAGCCTCATTAAGATTTTCGGGAGGTTGAGTGGATTGTGGTGATTGATTCGTTATTCTGTTCTCAAACTACAGTTGCCATTAACAAGTAATTGGCTAACTTTTATAAGACAGAACAAAAATATTTCCTTCTTCTAAGACTTTAAATTGATTGACCTAAAATTCTGAAAACTGAAAATCATTGCCCTAAAAATTGATGACAATTGTTTATCCCTTCTTCCTTCTATGGTGTTAATGACTCCCCTTTCTCTTTTTTTTGCTTAATATAAGACTTGAGCATCCTCCTGAATGATGATTTTTCTTAAAGTTCTTTAAGATTAGTATTAGTTTTAGCCATATTATCCTTTAACATGTTTGTTTTATTTTAAATCTTTGACAGTCAAAAAAAAAAAACCTTGTCTGCTGTTAAATACATGCTTGAGAATTATATTATGTATTGTCATAAATATGTGTATTAATATTAGTTTCTTTGCACATATGCAAATTTGTGTATTAATATTATAATTTCTTTGTACATATGTGAGGTGTAGAATATTTTTTATATCATGATATAGAAAACACTAATATTGAATTGAAATGAACTAAATTCTAATCTTTTAATATTTTCCTAATTTAGCATCATTAAAACTTTGTATCCTTTATAATCTCTGGTTCATTAGAGGCCTTCGAGGAAGAGGCCCACCTCCTTCATGGGCCTCTGAGCCTGAACGCCCTTCCATTCTTAGTGCATCAGAACTGAAGGAGCTTGATAAATTTGATAACTTAGATGCTGAAGCTGATGAAGGTTGGGCAGGTAAGAGGCAAAATTAAGCATTTTTAGTTTTTGGATGCTTTGAACAGTCAATCTGAGTTTTTCTTAATTTAACAGGTGCTCAGATGGAAGTAGATTATACAGAACAGCTGAATTTCAGTGATGATGATGAGCAAGGAAGTAGTAGTCCTAAAGAAAATAACAGGTAAGTTGTTATGATGTCTTTTACAAATAATAGTATGAATTTGTTGATATAACATTAGCCATTTATGCAGAGATAATTCATTAATAGGCATTTGTTCCTTATTTATAGAATTCTTACATTCTACTACAAATACTTCTACTGAGTGGAAGGGTGATTAATGAGCCAAATTTTTAAAGTACAGCTAATCAAGGAATTGAAGTTTGATGTTTCTAAAGAAAATACATATTTAAAAGAAGATGTTTAGATGCTTGCCATCTAATTGGAGATATTTTGAGAGACAGTATCATGGACCATTTAAAACTTGTAACTTGGGCCGGCCCTGTGGCTTAGCGGTTAAGTGCGCGCGCTCCGCTACTGGCGGCCCAGGTTTGGATCCTGGATGCGTTTGGATCCCGGGTGTGCACCAACGCACTGCTTCTCCAGCCATGCCGAGGCCGCGTCCCGCATACAGCAACTAGAAGGACACGCAACTATGACATACAACTATCTACTGGGGCTTTGGGGGGAAAAAAAAGGAGGAAGATTGGCAATAGATGTTAGCTCAGAGCCGATCTTCCTCACC